AAGTCACCTGGCTGGCTCTCGTGCCTAAGGCGGGACTAGAACTCACAGTCTCCTAGTGATTGACCCAAAGTCACCCAGCTGGCTCTCTTGTCTAAGGCGGGACTAGAACTCACCGTCTCCTGGTGATTGGCCCAAAGTCACCTGGCTATCTCTCGTGCCTAAGGCGGGACTAGAACTCACTGTTTTCCTGCTGATTGCCCCCAAATCACCCAGCCAGCTTTCATAACTAAGGCAGAACTTGAACTCACAATCTCTTGCTTTCTAGACTGGTGTCTTAACCACTCATCTCTTTTTCAGGGCTGTTTCATAATAAAAAAAAAATCACATTTTTGTGTGCATCCTGACATCTGGCAAATGTAAACTGGTTGCGTGCCTTTTGACAAGTCACTCCGATCGTTTGCGACATCCGTCTGAGCGGTGGTTTTTCAAAATCAATTAAGTTCCATTTTTTTTATTATTTTTTGAAGGGTCCAAAATGCATCGCTCCTTCCTTCCAGCGCTGATGACGTTGCCTAGCTGGGTCATGAAATGTCCTCACTTTCCTTGCCCTAATTTTTCTAGAGTATTCTTCAGGAATGTGAAGATCTGTTAATCTGTTAGGAGTTAATTCTTCTAAGTTATTACTTTTTAGTTTTCCCTCCCCCTTTAAATCCCCCCCATTAAAATTGTTAAACAGCACTCTTGAATGGGGTTTTTTCAATCCATTGCAAGCACAAACGGGCTGAGTTGGCTTTCAACAATTACAAAAAAGACTTGCACTTCTATCACAGAAAGAGAGAGAAATAAATACAGCAGACACCTGGGCGTTCGCCAAGGGGCGGTATCACAAAAACGGCAATTTTAAGAACAACAGAAGTTGCGCCCTGTTGGATTAGAACAGTGTTTCTCAACCTTGACCGTTTTAAGGCATGTGGACTTCAACTCCCAGAATTCCACAGCCAGCAATGCTGGCTGTGGAATTCTGGGAGTTGAAGTCCACAAGCCTTAAAATGGTCAAGGTTGAGAAACAGTGGATTAGACCTGTCTCATCCAGCAGTTTGTTATCCTGTTGTCCAATAACTTACCAAGGAAGCCCATGGACAGGTTCTACATTTAGGCAAGAAAAACCAAATGTACAGGTGTAGTATAGGGGGTACTGTGGCTCAATAGTAGTAACTGTGAGAGGGATCTCAGAGTCCTAGTGGACAATCACCTAAATATGAGCCAGCAGTGTGCTGCAGCTGCCAAAAAGGCGAACACAGTGCTGGGCTGCATTAACAGAGGGAAAGGTCACGTGAAGTATTAATGCCACTTTACAAGGCCTTGGTGAGGCCACACTTGGAATAACAGCATCCAGTTTTGGTCACCACGATGTAAAAAAGATGCTGAGACTCTGGAAAGAGTACAGAGAAGAGCAACAAAGATGATTAGGGGACTGGAGGCTAAAACATATGAGGAATGGCTGCTGGAATTGGGTATGTCTAGTTTAACGAAGAGAAGGACGAGGGGGGACAGGATAGCAGTGTTCCAGTATCTCAGGGGCTGCCCCAAAGAAGAGGGAGTCAAGCTGTTCTCCAAAGCACCTGAAGGCAGGACAAGAAGCAACGGGTGGAAACTGACCAAGGAGAGAAGCAACCTGGAACTAAGGAAAAACTTCCTGACAGTGAGAACAATTAACCAGTGGAACAACCTGCCTCCAGAAACAATGAATGCTCCAACACTGGAAGTTTTTAAGAAGAAACTGGACTGCCATTTGTCCGAAATGGTATAGGGTTTCCTGCCTGAGCAAGGGGTTGGACTAGATGACCTCCAAGGTCCCTTCCAACTTTATCATCATCATCATCATCATCATCATCATCATCATCATCATTATTATTATTATTATTATCTTCAAAGGAGAAGGAAGGAGACATAGTAGGAGAAGGAAGAAAGAGGAGGGGAGGAAGGAAGGAGAGGAGGAGGAAGGGGGAGAAGGAAAAGGCAGGAAAAGAAAGGAAAGAAAAAGAAAGGGGAGAGGAGGGGAGAAGAAGGAAGGAAAAAAGGAATAAAGGAAAGAGGAAGGAAGGGGAAGGGAAAAGGAAGAGAAGGAGAAAGGAGGGAAGAAAGCAGACGGGAGGGAAGGAAGAAAGGAAGGGGAGAAGGGAGAAGGAAAAAGGAAGGAGCCGGAGAGAGGGAGGGAGGTGAGAAAGAAGGCGAGAGAAGAGGGAAGAGAAGGGAAGAAAGGTGAGGAGAAGGGATGGAGAAAAGAAGGAAGGGGAGAGGAAAGAAGGAAGAGAGCGAAGGGATGGAGGAAAAAGGGAGAGAGGAGGAGGACTGCCAAGCCAGCATCCCATCTCGTGTTCAAACATTGAACAAGGGTAAAAGCAAAAGCAGGGCAGTGTTTTAAATTCATCTGTTCTCCATCATACAAATCTCTGTGAATACATCTTTTATCACATTGCACTTTTGGGGGTTATAATTGAAAATTGTACGGTGATGTAACACCACTGAGTGCTTTTATCATGGAGAAAAATGCTCCTGTGGGGGAACAAGACTTTGTTAATTCAAACCGTGACGGTTAAGCAACACATTTAACCTGGTTCCAGTATTACCTTGTTCTCTGGATGTGCAAAATGAGTTAAGCAAGAGATGGAATGCGGGAAGAAAACACCCATGAAGTTTTCCTTACTCTGCAGTGTTTCTCAGTCTCAGCAACTTTTAAGACTTTAACTCCCAGAATTCCCCAGCCAGCATGCTTTAAGAGGGGTGGACTTCCACTCCCAGAATTCTCCAGCTGGCATGCTTTAAGATGGATGGACTTCCAGAATTCCCCAGCCAGCATGCTTTAAGATAGATGGACTTCCACTCCCAGAATTCCCCAGCCAGCATACTTTAAGATGGGTGGAGTTCCAATCCCAGAATTCCCCAGCCAGCATGCTTTAAGAGGGGTGCACTTCATCTTCCAGAATTCTCCAGGCAGCGTCCTATAAGATGGCTGGCCTTCCACTCCCAGAGTTCCCTGCCCAGCACACTTTAAGAATGGTGGACTTCCACTCCCAGAATTCCTCAGCCAGCAGGTTTTAAGGGGGGGGTGGACTTCCACTCCCAGAATTCTCCAGCCAGCAGGTTTTAAGGGGGGGGGTGGACTTCCACTCCCAGAATTCTCCAGCCAGCATGCTTTAAGATGAATGGACTTCAACTCCCAGAATTCCCCAGCCAGCATGCTTTAAAATGGGTTGACCTCAATTCCCCAAGGGAATTCTGGGAATTGAAGTTCACCCATCTTAAAGTTACTGAGATTGAGAAACACTGGTTTAAGAAATCGTTGTCTCTTGTGATACAGACAACCTATAGATAAAATTTCTCCAATCTGATACCTTTTAAGCAAAAACCCCAGCATTTTAGGACCGAGACAGCTGTTCTGACCCTACTATAAATATTCAAATCCCCCCGACTCAAAACAGGGCTGGTTCAAACATTTCCAGCAGTATAGATGGGACAGTATATAGGTAGTCCTACTTATGACCACAACTGAGCCATAATTTCTGTGGTTAAACGAGACAGTCAAGTGAGTTTTGCCCCACTTTACGACCTTTCTTGCCACGGTTGTTAAGCGAATCGCTGCAGTTGTTAAGTTAGTCACACGGCTGTTAAGCAAATCTGGCTTCCTCATTGACTTTGCTTGTCAGAAATTCGCAAAAAGGGGGATCACGTGACCCCCGGGGACGCTGCGACCGTCGTAAGTCCATGCCACGTGTCCAGCTTTTGAATTTCGATCATGTGACCACGGGAACGCTGCCGTGTTCGTACGTGTGAAAAACGGGCCCAAGTCACTTTTTGCAGTGTGACTGTTAACGTTGAAGGGTTATGAAACGAATCGTTTTAAGTTGAGGACTACGTGTAGTAGCAAATGTCCAGAATAACGTTTTGGCCTCCTCTTCAAGTGTTATCAAGTTGTTTCCACCGCCAATGTTCTCCTCTGTCCCACAACGGGACCGTGAGGGAACAACGCCCGAGCTTTCAAAGATGAATGGAAATAAGGCCTCTCTGTACAGCATAGGACAATTCGTCATGGCCAATTTGCTACGGGACAACATGCCACAGCCCACGTACTACAGGATAACTCGCCGTGGGTCAATTCAACATGGGATAACTCAACGCCACCGTTCCTTCGACATTATTTTAATTTTTGTCATTCACATTTTATTTTGTCCCTCTTTTAGCATCCTTTCCTTAATGATTCTAGTCCTTCATTTCTTTGATATTAGTGTAACTCCTGTCCTGCGGCTAGTGGTCCCGCAACGAATTGGTCATGGCGAGTTGGCCACCTCAAATTGTCCTAGACCTCACAAAGGTGTGGTAGTCTCAGAGGCAATGAAAAAGCCCTTTCCCATGGATCTTTCTTGTGCCTGGCTTAGGCCCGGTTGAGGAGGTAGCTGCCACTGAATTGGCTACCGATAAGAAATGTGGTCTGTTGGTGGTACAAGCGAATTGGCCTCTTGTGGATGATCCTGGTGTGCTAATCCAACAGACTTTGGGGGACCAGAATTAGAACCACAAAGCAAGAAAAAATCTTGCAAGAATCCTTCCAGATCTGAACAGTAGGTTCAGTCCATTCTCAGCAACTTCTGATTCATCTTCACTTCATCCTCACTCTCTCATTTTTCCTTCCTTTCTTTGTTCAATATCTGTAAAGTCAGAAAAATCAAAATGGCAGTTTAAACGCCAGTGTTGAAGCCTCACTGATTTTTATGTGCATCACCCACACAGAGCACCAAAAATTATCTTCTTGAATCTTATCTTCTTGAATTCAACTTCTTGAATCACAAAGATCTGGTTATCCGTCTCAAAAGTTGGCACCTGTTCCAAAATGACCTTGACGTCAGCCAGGTTTTCCAAATTGTGCATCAAAAGGAAACCTGGAATGTGCAAAAATGTTAAAAATACAACATTCTACGATATTGTCCATTGAACTAAGACCCTTTCCACAATTTGGGGCAAGAGGAACCCCGCATTTCTCCAGCTTCTGCTAGTTTGCATTTCTCCAGCTTCTGCTAGTTTGATGGGCACGGCTATCCTTAAAAACGAGAAGCACAAGAACGCTGAGGTATATTTTTAACAAAAAAAAAAAGATGCTAAAATTCTCCAGGAGCAATCCCTCGGCACTTTCAGTAAAATCAAGGCAGCCATCAAGATATCCAAATAAGGCTATCAATGTTTCACTACTAGTAAACGGGCACAACAGGGAACACCTTGAAGAAGATTTAAAAGGTAGAAAAGGTGGCAGGCAATTTTTCGAGGTGGGGAAATGAAAAGATCAGGGCGCATTCTGATTAGGGACAATCAGAGGACACATAGATCAGTCTGCACGGTGTTCTTTAACCTCGTTGCCCTAAACCGCCAATTAAAGACCTCAGGGCAAAAGAAGAGATTTGCAGAATTCTCACGGCCTCTCTGGTTGGCCAACCGCAAGTCCCAGGTTCCACTTGCAACATCAGGCCACATCTGGAACATTGTGACAGCTGCAGTCACCGGAAGGCTTTGGGAAGCATACAATCTTATGGCCAGTGGTTATTTGGCGACCACAAAGGCACCTCCTTGGACGCGGTTCGTGATCTCGGCTGGGAAGAATGGCAGCCGATTCCGAAACGGTGCTTCCCCCAAATCCCCGATCTGGAAAGGTGAGACAAGTTAGTTCCAAAGCGGATATTTAGGTGTTCGCTATCGCATTCGGTCCGGAGCTGGTGAACTGCTGTAGAGCCTCATTGCTTTGCGGCAGATGAGAACAAACCAGTAGATCTGGGGCGCGATCAGGAATGCGTTGGCCACGTTGCAATGCAGAGGGATGCGAAAGGGTACCTCGTAGATAGGCAGGTTCATCTGTCGCCCATAAGCCCAGTACATGTACAGGAAGAGGAGGATCCGGCACAGGAAGAAGGTGACCAGGATGAGGATCCCGTTGATCTTATGCAGGAGGGAATCTTGCATTTTCACCTGTAACGCCACCCCCCCAAAAAAGAAAATGTTGAGAAGGTTAAATGAGAGGCAAGTGCTGGCCCACAAATAAGAAGATCAAGGCCCGGAGAAATTCCAGCAGCTGCTCCTTTAATTCCCACACTGGGCGGGAGGCTGCCTGCTGCATCTCTGTACGATTTCTGTTCCGACTTCTTTCCCTTTCAGCCTTAGTACAGGTAGTCCTCGAACTGTGCCTCATTTTACGACCTCTTTTGCCACCATCGCAAAGCAGATCACGGCATCTATTAAGTGACCACCATCTATAACAGGGGTGTCAAACTCAATTTCATTGAGGGCCGTATCAGCATTGCGGTTGCCTTCGGGGGGCCAGGTGGGTGCGGCCTACTGGGTGGATGTGGATGGAGTGGGTGTGGCCTACTGGGTGGGCATGGCCAGCTCTACATCGTTCATGTCAAGGTGGCCTGGGCAGGAGTGGGGCAGATCTGAGGGTTTCTGGCAGAAGGGGGTGGGACCGGGGCAAGCACCAAGGCATGGTCCATTTCTTCATTCCTCACAAAGGGTGACACCTCCCCAGCATGCACCCAGGGGGCGGGGTCAACACAGCTGGTTCCTCGCTGTTTCTAGACGGCCTTGTGGAGCTAAGACTGAATGTGTTTCAGCATAGATGGCCACCACAAAATTGTACATTGGCTCCCGGCCGGCCTGGGCCAAGGCCAAGGCAGCAGGGGCCGTTTCCTCACTGTTTCCAGGATGGCTTCGCGGGCCACATGAAACCACTTTGCGGGCCGCATCCAGCCCCCGGGTATTACCTTCCCAGCCAGCTTCCAACAAGCAATGTCAATGGGGGAAGCCACTTTCCCTTAAGGACTGCGTGATTCACTTAATGACGGCAGCGATTCGCTTAACAACCACAGCAAAAGAAAGGTCGTAACATGGGGCTAAGCTCACTTAGCAAAGGAAAATTTGGCTTTAACTGTGGTCGTAAATTGAGGATTACCCGTATTTAGCATTTTAATGGTAAGCCATCCTGAATCGTTTTGCAGAGTGCGACGGGCAGCGTCTAAATTTAATACAGATAGCCAAAATTTCTGTGGCAAAGGGAGACAGTTTGTTAAGTCAGTTTTGCTCCATTTCACAACTTTTCTTGCCATGGCTGTTAAGTGAATCACTGCTGTTCTTAAGTGAATAACACGGTTGTTAAGTGAGTCCGGCTTCCCCATTGACTTTGCTGGTCAGAAGGTCGCAAAAGTGGATCGCGTGACCCCGGGTGATGCTGCAACCGTCATAACTATGAGTCAGTTGCCCAGTGGCTGAATTTTGATCCCGTGACCCTGGGGATGCCACAACGGTCGTAAGTGTGAAAAATGGTCATAAGTCCCTTTTGTCAGGGCCGTTGCCACTTTCACTAAATGAACAGTTGTAAGTGGAGGACTATCTGTAAAGAAAAAGAAAGAAATGGAGGTTCCGGGTGTCAAATGCTCACCTGAATCAGGATCTTGCCCAGAGACACAAACGGGGTGCTGAGCTCGGCCGTGAAGATGCAGCCCACGAAAAAGTCTCCGAGTTCACCACGCAGATGCTGTAGTCCGAAAGAAAAAGAGAGAGAGAGAGAGATGGGGTGGATCCAGGGGACAAGATGTTTTAAGCCAGGGGTCTTCAAACTTGGCCCTTTGATGACTGGTGGACTTCAACTCCCAGAATTCCTCAGTCGGCCATTTTGATGAAACCGCGGGCTTAGATCCAGACCAGGGGTCTTCAAACTTGGCCCTTTGATGACTGGTGGACTTCAACTCCCAGAATTCCTCAGTCGGCCATTTTGATGAAACCGCGGGCTTAGATCCAGACCAGGGGTCTTCAAACTTGGCCCTTTGATGACTTGTGGACTTCAACTCCCAGAATTCCTCAGCCAACGTGCCTGGCTGAGTAATTCTGAGAGTTGAAGTCCACTAGTCATAAAAGAGCCAAGTTTGAAGACCCCTGTTCTAAGAGTCTTCTAACCTCTCATGAAATTTGAGAAAGATCCAGAAGGTCCTAAAGGGGCAGATTGGTGGACTTCAACTCCCAGAATTCCTCAGCCTGGCAGGTGAGAGGCCTAAGTAAGTGTTTTGCAGCCTTCAAGCAATAACCCCCAGGATAAAATGAAGGTGGATCAAAGGGGAAGGCTTTTTTGTTGGGAACACTTCAGAAGGTTGAATGGAACAGTATTAAAACTCAGAAGGGAAGGGAAGGGAAGGGAAGGGAAGGAAGAAGTGGTGGGATTCAGCCCGTTCCCACCACTTCGGCAGAACCGGTAGCTAATATTTTGTTGCCCAGGCCCAGAACGGACTTCCGGGAGTGGCATCCACACAGAGAACCGTTGTTCACATATTTGAATCCCACCACTGGAACGAAGAGGGAAGGGCAGGGAAGGGGGGGAGAGAAGGGAAGGGAGGGGAGAGGAGGGGAGAGGAGAGGAGGAGGGAAGAGGGAAGGGAAAGGAAAGGAAGAGGGAAGGGAAAAAGGGAGGGGAGGGAAGAGGGAAGGGAAAGAACAATGTAATGGAATGAATAGAATAGAATAGAATAGAATAGAATAGAATAGAATAGAATAGAATAGAATAGAATAGAATAGAATAGAATAGAATAGAATATATGGAATGGAATAGAATAGGAATGGAATGGAATGGAACAGAATAGAATAATTAATCAGTGGAACAACCTGTCTCCAGAAGTTGTGAATGCTCCAACACTGGAAGTGTTTAAGAGATTGGACAACCATTTGTCTCAAATAGTATAAAGTTCCCTGCTTGAGCAGGGGGTTGGACTAGAAGACCTCCAAGGTCCCTTCCAACTCTGTTATTCTATGTTTTAAAGTTGGCACTTTGAGACCTTGAAAAAGTTTGCTATTTTGCCTATTCCTAACCGCGGGAATCCCACAGACCCAAATCAGCCATCGTAAGTGCTTCCCGAACCCTAAAACTTCGTACACCCCTACTCTAGTGACTCAAAGTCCCCGAAGGCTAGACTTAAGAAAGACTTGGCTGCTGGATCAAAGCCAAGCAAGGATAAATCACGATTACATGTCAGATCTTTGAAAAACCCAAGATGCAGTAGCAGTATCATCCTGTTTATGAGCCCCAAGAGTGGGCGGGCAAGGGAGGCTGGCTTTGATCTAGCAAAAGATTACACAACTGCGAAAGAAAGAAAGAAAGAAAGAGAGAAAGAAAGAAAGAAAGAAAGAAAGACAGACAGACAGAAAGAAAGAAAGAAAGAAAGAAAGAAAGAAAGAAAGAAAGAAAGAAAGAAAGAAAGAGCGGGCGTATCTTTGATGTCCATCAGGGAGAACGCACACTTTACAGGTGGAATGTCTGCCTGCACATTATTGATGTGGTTGGGCCACATTTCCTGAGCATTAAACAGGAGCTTTGGAAACATCTGTTCACCCAGGTGTTCTCTGATCTGGTTTGAGATGATCTCATACTGACCTCCTACTGTAGTTTATAATTAACTTTATGATTAAATAATTTTAATTAACCATAACATTAACTAAAAACTAGTTTTTAATTAATTTTATTAGTGAATCAATCCTAATATTAAAATTAAAATTATGATTTCAAAGCACCTCAGCTAGTCCTTGACTTACAACCATTCATTTAGTGACCGTTCAAAGTTACAACGGTACTGAAAACAGTGACTTATGACCATTTTTCACACTTAATGACCATCACAACATGCCGGTGGTCACATGATCAAAATTCGGCCACTTGGCAACCGACTCATATTTACGACGATTGCATGTGATCCCCTTTTGTGACCTGACAAGAAAGTCAATGGGGAAAGCCAGACTTCATTTAACAACCGTGTTGGTAACTTAACAATTGTGGCAATGAAGATCGTAAAATGAGGCAAAACTCACTTTAACAATTGCCTCACTTAGCGACCAAAATTTTGGGCTGAATTGTGGTCGTAAATTGAGGACAACCTCTATTAAAACAGGGTTTTCTTTACTTTTTGTTGACTTGCCTTGATTGGAATTTTTTCTCTTTCTTAATTGAAAACACGCTGGGGGGAAAAAGCAGATTTAAAATGTGCGAAGAATAAAAATACTTAAATCATCCCATATCTGAAGAAAGTCTCTATTCTCATCCAGGGTCAGCAAAAAAAAGTCACCAGTGTTAATAGGATCTGCCTGGAGATGTCACTGTACATGCTCAGAAACTAGCAAGCCCCATTCTTTTCCTTAGTTGCTGACAAAACACCAGGCCAGCTGGACTTGCTTTTCCCAAGCAAGGAATAATTAAAGGTCCTTTTAAAATTATACAGGCAGTCCTCGACATACCACAACGGAGCCCAAAAATTCTGTTGCTAAGTGAGACCGTTGTTAAGTGAGTTTTGCCCCATTTTTATGACCTTTCTTGCCACAGTTGTTAAGTGAATCACTGTAGATGTTAAGTTAGTAACACAGGTGTTAAGTGAATCTGGCTTCCCCATTGACTTTGCTTGTCGGAAGGTCGCAAAAGGAGATCATGTGACACCACCTGGGAACTTGCAACCGTCATAAGTACCTGCCAGTTGGCCAGCATCTGAATTTTGATTACGTGACCATGAGGATGCTGCGCCAGTCACAAGTATACAAAATGATCATAAATCACATTTTTTCAGGGACCTTGTGACTTCAAACGGTCACTAAATAAACTGCTTTAGTTGAGGATTATCTGTGTACTTTTCCGCAGCCCTTTACAAGTACTAGAGGCAAATGGCTCATATTTAGGACGGTGTATCCCCATTTTGCGATCTTCTGACAAGGCAAGTCAACTGGGGAGAAGCCAGATTCACTACACAGCTGTGTGACTCAACAATTATCTCTAAATCTGCCTCTCTCTTTCTGTGGATATGCCCGAGGGGAGATTTTGTTTAACTATAAAGATAAAATTCACCAAGTTTTTTTAAAAAATCAAGCTGGAAGTATCATGATTATAGAAGATAGTAGCCCAAGTATTGTAAACACTGGAGGTTTTTAAAGAGACTGAATAATCATTTGTCTGAAATGGTATAGGGCAGGGGTAGGCAACCTTGGCTCTTTTATGACTCGTGGACTTCAACTCCCAGAATTCCTGAACCAGCCATGCTGAAGAGAAATTGAGGTTTCCATGCTGAGCCAGGCTGGCTCAGGAATTCTGGGAGTTGAAGTCCACGAGTCATAAAAGAGCCAAGGTTGCCTACTACTGATTTAGGCCAGGGGGAGGGAACCTTGGCTCTTTTATGACTCGTGGACTTCAACTCCCAGAATTCCTGAGCCAGCATGGCTCAGCATGGAATCCTCTCCCTTTCTCCTTAGCATGACTGGCTCAGGAATTCTGGGAGTTGAAATCCACCAGTCATAAAAGAGCCAAGGTTGCCTACCCCTGGTTTAGGGTCTCCTGCCTTGAGCAGGGGGTTGGACTAGAAGACCTCCAAGGTCCCTTCCAGCTCTGTTATTCTGTATTCTGTTCAGCTTAACAGCTGTGGCAAGAAACGACGTAAAATGGGGCAAAACTGCCACACTTAGCAATAGAAATTTTCAATTTCATTGTGATTGCAAATCAAGGATTACCTGTACTTATAACCTTTCATTTAATGAGGATTCGAAGTTATGAACATCTCAGAAAAAATAAACCTCAAAGTTTTAAACCATTGATCCAGTGGTTATGTAGCGGCAGCCTGGAGATCCTGAGGTAAAATGGGCAGCCAATAAATTTAATAAATAATAATAATCGCAATTTGGGCATTTGGCAACACATTTAGGATAGTTGCAGTGTCTTAAAGTCACACAATCAAGATTTGTGAGTTTCCCTCCCGACTTCGAACAAGCCAAGTCAATAGGGAAAGTCAGATTCGCTTAACGACCATGGAATTTGCTCAATGAGCAGGGTAAAACAATCATGAAAAACTGGTCACGTGATGACACGCTAAAGGACTGCATCACTTCGCGACCAAAATCCCAATCTCAATTGCAGTCCTAAATTCGTTTGGTGACCATTTCAAGTAAAAACAGAATTGATGGATGTGACTTATGATTGTGTTTCACACTTACGACCCTTGCAGCATCCCCATGATCAAAATTCACATGCTTGGCAGCTGACCCGTACTTATGACGGTTGTGGCGTCTCGAGGGGAAATCACGTGATCCCCTTTTGTGACCTTCTGACAAGCAAAGTCAACGGGGGAAGGCAGATTCACTTAACAACCGTGTTGCTGACTTAAGAACAGCAGTGACTCAATAAACGTGGCAAGAAAGGTTGTAAAATGGGGCAAAATGCACTTAACCACTGTCTTGCTTAGCAACAGAAAGGTTGGGCTCCATTACGGTCGTAAGTCGAGGATTAATTGTAGTTGCATTTCAAAAAAACAAAACAAAACCTAGGAATGAAGTTGTGTCCATTGACTTCTCTAGCAATTAAGATGGATGGCTTGACCAACATCAGGCCCTAAGCCTGACCACCCTTTGGCCCTGCAAAGGTGGCCTCACCGTAGCGACTGGCGTTAAGACGAAGAGGATGAAGAGATGGTGGGTGACCATCAGCCGTTCCTTCTGCAGAAAACTCCGGAGGCTCTTCCAGGAGTAATTTCCACCTGCTGGCCCTTTCTCCTGACTCTTATGCCAGTAGCAAAGATACATGACATAGATATCGTAGGTCATGTATGACACCACAATCCAGATATATTCCCTGGCGATCCAGTGTCTGTTGAGGGAGAGAAGAACGTGAGGGGCAATTAGATTAGGTCAATATCACTTCTTCATGTAATTCATGCATGTAATGTAACATATGATGACTAGGTTCTGACGTGTGTGTGTGTGTGTGTGTGTGTGTGTATTAACCCGCAGAGCAGGGCGATTTAATGACCCTTTAATGGCCCTTTTATGACTTGTGGACTCCAACTCCCAGAATTCCTAAGCCAGCATGGGGAACGATAGCCCTTTTAGGACTTGTGGACTTCAACTCCCAGAATTCCTGAGCCAGCATGGGGGAACTATGGCCCCTTCACGACTTGTGGACTTCAACTCCCAGAATTCCTGAGCTAGCATGGGGGAACTATGTCCCCCTTCATGACTTGTGGACTTCAACTCCCAGAATTCCTGAGCCAGCATGGGGAACGATGGCCCTTTTAGGACTTGTAGACTCCAACTCCCAGAATTCCTGGGCCAGCAGGGGGAACCACGGCCCTTTTATGATTTGTGGACTTCAACTCCCAGAATTCCGGAGCCAGCCCTAGTTCCCCACCTCTGCCACAGAGTGTGGCTGTAATATTATTTATCCTTTTTAAAAGTAGTCCTCATCTTACGGCCACAATTGAGCCCAAAATTTCTGTCAATAAACAAGACAGTGGTTAAGTCAGTTTTACCTCATTTTAAGACCTTTCTTGCCACAGTTGTTAAGTGAATCACCACAGTTATGTTAGTAACTGGTTGTTGAGTGAATCTGACTTTCTCCCCCTTGACTTTGCTTGTCACATTGTCGCAAAAAGGGATCACGTGACCCCGGGACACTGCTGCCGTCATAAATAGGAGCCAGTTGGCAAGCGTCTGAATTTTGATCACGGGACTATGGAGACACTGCAACGTTCATCGATGTAAAAAACGGTCCTAAGTACCTTTTTTCAGTGCCTTTGCAACTTTGAACGGTCACTAAACAAATCATTAAACAAACTGTCATAAGTAGAGGACTGGCTGCAATCTCCTTAAGTCTGCCTGCAGGTAGACTTCAGTCCAAGACAGGACAGTCATTAATTTGGCATGTGATATGCACACCAAGGAAATATCGTTTTGGGAACATCGCCCACCGCAATTATGTGGAAACTTGATGTTCAGAAAAAACATTTTGTGTGCTTGATTAAACATTTCGGTTACATTTCCGTCTACCCCACCTTCTTGCTTCTATTCATGGCATTTAGGAGGGGAAAACCGGTGAAGCTTGTATCTGCTTGGGTCTACTTGAGGAAAAAAAAAAAAAACTGGAATATCGAGATAAACTCCGGTGTGTGGTTTAAGGACTGGGCAGCTCTTACGCCAAGCATGTTAATGTTTGCCTTTTAATGGGAGGCGTAGGAGCTTTTAATATTTTGGAGCCTGACCGCTTCTCTGTGCCGAATTTGGCCCTTGCATCCAGATAGTCCTTGACTTATAACCATAAGGGAGCCCAAAATTTGCCTCCAAAATTTGCCTCCAGAAGCGTTGAATACTCCAACACTGGAAGTTTTTAAGAAGAGACTGGACAGCCATTTGTCTGAAATGGTATAGGTCTATAGAATATCCTGCCTGAGCAGGGGGTTGGACTAGATGACCACCAAGGTCCCTTCCAACTTTTTTATTATTATTATGGATCATCGCACAGTCAGCCAGATGTTCAGACTGGATTTGGCATTTTTTCTACCTCTCGAGTCCTTACCAAGGACCTGGGATAGGCAGATGTGGATGTTTGATGGTATTACAGATATCGTCGCAGGATGGAAGCAGTTCCTAGTAAGGCCACCTTTTGCAATTGACTAATGGCAAATTTGTCAATGCCAATGGTGTTCAAGTGGTGCTCCAGTTGTTTTGGGATTGCACCCAAGGTGCCTATTACTTTATTATTATTATTTTATTATTATTATTATTATTACTATTATTATTATTATTTCTGTTGGTAAGTGAAACATTTGTTGTGGATTTTGCCCCATTTTACGACCTTTCATTTATCAGCCGTTCAACATTACAAAGACACTGAAAAAAAGAGACTTAGGATTTTTTTTCAGACTTACGACCGCGGCAGCATGCCCGTGGTGACGGGATCAAAATTCAGATGCTTGGCCACTGGCTCCTATTTACGACGGTCGCAGTGATCCCCTTTTACGACCTTCTGACAAGCAAAGTCAATAGGAAAGCCAGATTCACTTAACAACCGGGTTACTAATGTAGCAACTGCAAGGGTTCCCTTAAGAACTGTGGCAAGAAAGCTCGTAAAATGGGTCACACAACTCATTCAACAACAGTCTCGCTTAGCAACATAGGTTTTGGGGTTCCATTGTGGTCGTCACCTAACTTTACCTGAATTGTGAATGACTTTATTTCAGAGGTCTTCAAACTAGGCCCTTTTATGACTCGTGGACTTCAACTCCCAGAATTCCTCAGCCAGCCTGCCTGGCTGAGGAATTCTGGGAGTTGAAGTCCATGAGTCACAAAAGGGCCAAGTTTGAAGACCCCGGCCCTATTTGTTTCCTTGCCTTTTTTAAATCTCATTTTAGGACTTGTGTGGGGCACATAAGAGGTCATATCGATGGGGAAATGTTGAAAAACAAACAAAAAAAAAAGATTCACAAACATTTAAGCACCAGTGTCCACATGGTCTGATTGTCTCCTTTGCCAAAGACTTTAAAGTTTCCACATTTCAATAGCAATAATTAATTTAAAATGATTTCCAGATGCTGCAAGCTCTTGTTTGCCTAACCTCCTTTGTTCCATTTACAAACTCCTAAAAGTTAATATAAAAACCACAACAATTAACTGTTTCAAAACCGGAAAAGGGGGGGGCGCAGAGCTGACTAACTCATCCCCTCTGCCCCTTTAGGACCTTCCGGATCTTTCTCAAATTTCATGAGAGGTTAGAAGACTCTTAGAACAGGGATCTTCAAACTTGGCCCTTTTATGACTAGTGGACTTCAACTCTCAGAATTTCTCAGCCAGGCATGCTGGCTGAGGAATTCTGGGAGTTTAAGTCCACAAGTCATAAAAGGCACGCTGGCTGAGGAATTCTGGGAGTTGAAGTCCACAAGTCATAAAAGGCACGCTGGCTGAGGAATTCTGGGAGTTGAAGTCCACAAGTCATAAAAGGCACGCTGGCTGAGGAATTCTGGGAGTTGAAGTCCACAAGTCATAAAAGGGCCAAGTTTGAAGACCCCTGCCCTATACCATTCTAGACAAATGGCTGTCCAGTCTCTTCTTGAAAACCTCCAGTGATGGAGCACCCACAACTTCTGGAGGCAGGTTGTTCCACTGGTTAATTGTCCTCACTGTAAGGAAATTTCTCCTTAGTTCTAGTCTGCTTTTCTCTCTGATTAGTTTCTATCTGTTGTTTCTGGTCCTGCTTTCAGGTGCTTTGACCCTCCCCCCTTCTTTGGGCAGCCCCCGAGATATTGGGAAACTTTCATCACGTCACCCCTGGTCCTTAACAGAATAACAGAGTTGGAAGGGACCTTGGAGGTCTTCTAGTCCAACCCCCTGCT